GGAGAGGCAGGCTGAACGCCGTGACCGCACGTCGGCGTTGGAACATACCGTTGTTTGTGCGCCGCAAAAGAGCGTGCGGTCAGAGGTCACACAGCATGCATGCCTGCAGCAGCACGTGCCCAGGCCGCTCGAAGATCGGGGTGCCGCTGCCTGCAACCAACAGCCCCGGGGCCACCGCCCCAACACAGCACGCTCGACGCGGCCCTCCAAAAACCCCGCCGCGGCGCCCGCCGCCCTCTCCGCCCCCTCCCCGCCGCACCCGTGTGGGACATCGCGTTCCTCTCCAGCGCGGTCAGCGACAGCCGCCCCTTGGCCATGCAGTCTGTCAGCAGCCCCGTCGTCGTTCCCGGCCTCACGCCCACCGGCTGCGCCGCGACCCACGCGCCCGCGGCAAGGTGGTCCCTGATGGGCAGGGGGCGGCCCTCGAGGCCCGTCCTGCCGCGCTCCTCGGGGTCCAGTAGGAGGATGTCCACGCGGCCGACGGCCGGCAGGGTGGGGCCTGGGCCCCCCGGGGCGTCGAAGACAGTGCGCGCGACGCGCGCGCCCTGCTGGCGCGCCCACTGGATGGCGGGCTCGAGCTGGGGCCGGGGCGGGGGAGCAGCGGGCGCGAGGATGGGCGTCGTTTAGAGGCTTTCCGCGGGCATGGGGTCGCGGAGCTCCAGGGCGCTGCAGAGCCGCGATCCCCGTCCTGGGGCCGCAGCCGGCCCGCTAGGGCGGCACTGCGCCCCGCGCACCTGCTGCTGGTTCGCCGTCTCTGCGTGAATGTGGATCCGCAGGTTGCGCATCGTCCTGTCAAAAACCCAACGGGGGTGCGGCATGAGGCGGTGCGCCGGCAGCCGCTGCCGCAGCAGCGCGCCGACGCTGGTGCCGTGCGTGTGGTGGGCGCCGGCGCCGCTGCTGGGGCCCGTGGAGTGGGACGGTGCCAGCGTGGCCGCCGGGCTGCCCGGCGTGGGGGGGACGCCCGGTGGTAGCGCCTGCTGGGGTGGATGGTCGCGTTGATGCCGCTGCTGCTGCTGAGGGTCTGCTGTGTGTGCGTGCGGGTGTGGCTGCGGCGGCAGCGCCGGCGGCGCAGCGCCGTTTGCGTGCTCGTTCTGCTGCATTTGCGACCGCTGGTGCTCTTTAAGCTGCTGCGTCTTGAGCTGCGGCAGAGCGGCGTGCGCGGGCGTCGCCGGCGCCGGCGCCGGGGCGGCGGCGCCATCCTGTGGCGAGCGCCGCTTGTACAGCAGGCGAGGGTCGTTCGTGCGAGGCACGACCGCAGGCACTGCAAGCGGCGCAGGGGCGCCGCTGCCGCTGCCGCCGGCGCTGCCGCGCACCGCCTTCGCGCTGAGCGCGCCGCTGACGCTACCGCCGCTGCCGCCGGTGACGGAGGCCAGGGGGACGAGAGCCGGCCGGTCGGTCGCCGCAGGCGCCAGCGAGTCGGACGCGGCTGTAATGCTGAAGGGATCGTGCCCGCTGCCGAAGTCGCTGCTGCGGGTGCTGCCGCCAAATGCGTCCTCCCCAAAGAAACCGCCCGCATGCTGGTGCTCTGGCTGCGCGAGCGGCTGCTGCCGTTGCCAGTGACGTTGCGGGCCCGCCGCCGCCGCCGGGCCTGGCGCTCCCGCGGCGAACGGCGACTGCTCATGGTGGGGGTAGGGCTCAGCAAATGTGCCAAAGCCGCCATCGTCACCACCCATGAAGCCGATGCTGCACGCGCCATGAAAGCCGCCGCTAAAGCCCCCGTCACCGCCAAACCCAGCGGGCTCAGAGGCCGCGGCGGGCGGCGCTGCCGACGCCGCGGCTGCAGCTGCGGCCGCCGCCTGGACGAACGAGAAGTCGTCCAGCCCGTCC